TATTGTGTGATTTGTGTTTTTTCGCGTTCATAAATACCTGCTGCTCGCCGCCAACGAGGGAAATAATCCCACTTGGCATTTTATTATGAATTCATAATAAATTGGTTCAAGCCAGATTTTAAAATGTAGTAAACGTATTATTTATAGAGTAATTATTTTATTTTAAATTGACCAGAAATAAAGAGAAATTTGAAAAAATTATTATTAACTTTATAAAATTAATTTGTTCAGGAAATATTTAAAAATATTCCGATTTTGGAAGATAGGAGCCGCAAACGTGTAGTCTAAAACATCTATGTCTAAAACTGTTAATATTTTTACATGTTCTCCAAGTGCAACGCACATTTTTGGAATAATCGCAAGTTATGTAGGTACATGTTATTAATCAATTAAGATAGACCTTAATTTCCATATAGGTTGTTCATGCAAAGGTATGCCATATTTTAGGCTCGGCCAATTGAAGATTTCTGAACCATTTTGTAAAAATGTGCATATAGGTCGTACAAGAAAAGGTATGTAATATGTCATAATCATGTTCTTTCAAGCTTATGAAGACTGATCCACAAAAATGTTTCTGAAGCAGAGGTCATAACCCACAGAAATAGAGATACCAAGTCATGTCCCTGATAACACAAAAAAAAGTAAAAATCGTACACTACGACATATGTTGATTGGTCCAAGGCCTACTTTAGAGAAATGCAGTAAAAATGGGGATATAACGTTACACTCCATAGGCGTACTTTGAAAAATGAGTTTCTATAATATAAATAGGGTAACGGCATATAAAATGGTATATACGCACGTAGTGATTAGATTTTGAATAAAAAAGTTATATTATTTACAAAAAATAAAAATAAACCTTATGCATCTGATCAAATTGTTGCACTTTAACATTGAACGAATTAAATTTAACCACTAAATAACAAGGAGGATTGTATGTTGTTAATGGGATTAAACTTTTTTTATTCAAAAGTAAGACTTCTTCAGTATCTATATAAAATCAAAGATTTAAAAAATTAAAAAGTTCAAGAACTATCCTTAAAAGTCACTGACTTCACTATAACTACCTGTATTCATTATCTTTCATGAGGTTTTTTATTATATCGCCGGTGTCGTTCTAATACCTCGTAAGCCCAAAAGTAACATTTTACAGGAGAAGCCAAAAACCGTTCTGTTTATTTATTACTATTACTATACGAGGTATTAGAAAAGTTAACTTTTTGAAAATTTTGTGGGCTACGAGGTTTTCTGTAATGGTAAATATGGGTAACTGCAACAATTTGACGTAAAAATCTCATTTTTGTCAAAATGAGGGTTACGAGGTATTAGAACGACACCGACGATATGGTCTATTAAGTTTTCCTTTGCTATATCCACTTTCCAAAATGAATTTTCCACCTTTTTAACACGATCAATGCATTTTCTCAAATGTTTTCCATTTATATATGAAACTGCCTTCAATAACAAATTTCGCACATCAGGTAATTTAAATGTTGTATTGTTTCGAGAAACATAACCTTTTAATTGTGACGAAATCAGTTCAATGGGATTTAATTCTGCGTGGTAAGGAGGCAATCTGGGAATTTCAATTCCTTTTTCTCAATCCATCTCGTCTATAATATATTTTTTAATTTGTTTTTATTAAGAGTAATTTTGCCTTAAAGGATTTAGGAGGCATGTTTGTAGGATACTTTTCTTCAATTGCAATTAAAAATCATTTTCCCAACACTACTTTTATTAATTACACCACTATGTTTGTTCCAAACACATTTCAGTTTATAGAAATGAATTATGAACAAGTGATTGAAACAATTGCATCTCTAAATAATAACAATGCAGAAGGATTTGATTGCATTTACACAAAAATTATTAAGACAATTGCACCATACATTCCGAATTCATTAGCTTATGTAATGAATAATTCCTTGTTACTCGGAATCTTCCCAAACGCTCTTAAAATTGGCCTTGTAACACCAGTCTTTAAAAAAGGGTGTCTCTTGTCAGCGGATAACTACAGACCTATTACAATCCCCACTATAATATGTGTAAAGTTTTTGAGAAATGTGTAGGTCAACAAATGTTATCTTTTCTAAAAAAAATTAATATCCTAACTGAACATCAACATGGTTTTCTTCCAGACAGGCAACGGAGAGTGCAACTACTGCTTTCTTCAACTATATATATCGACAGCTGGATATGGGGCAGTATGTGGATCTATTCTTCTTTGACTTGTCCAAAGCTTTAGACACAATTGACATATCCATTGTTTAAAATAAATTACAGGCATTAGGTTTCAGGGGCATAATTTTAAAATGGCTAAGTTCTTATTTAGATTCACGTCAGATATGTGTAAAAGTGGGTAACTGTAAATCAGAATTGAAAAGTCTAACCAGAGGAGTACCACAAGGCTGAGTTTTGGGACCACTAATATTTTTGTTATATGTAAATGATCTCCCTCAACATGTGTCTGCAGATTATACCATACTCTATACCGACGATACAACTTTAGCATCTCATGCAACTTCTCCAGATGAGCTGCAGCAGAAGCTTCACTTAGTAGCTTCAGATATTTCAACTTGGTGCAATAAAAATTCCTTAATCTTAAATTCTGATAAAACAGTTGCTCTTCAGTTTTTTTCAAGGAATAGAATTTATAATATATGTGTACAGGTAAATTGCAATGATGTCTACTTGTCGCAGAAAACAAACTTTCTGGGGGTACTGCTAGATAGTGATATGAGCTGGGAATCAAATTAGTTTAGGAGTCATCAAAGTAGTTTTTGAAAAAAAAATTCAATTTTTTCGAGCAAACCGCCAACAGTAGTATGACTCATAAAAAAAGTTATCCGACCAATATTTAATGATTTACAGCCATTTTTATACCCGAAAACGTAAGAAATTGATAAATACTAACTCATAATGTTATTTAGATTAATTTTTTCTATTGATTACCATTATATTTCCCTACACTAAGAACTTTTTTTGAATTATTATGATTTATCACTCATAATGAATATAATTTTGAAGAGCGTGAAATTCCCCACAAGGTCCATCAAACCGATTTGCAATATTGTAAAAAGTGGGTAAACATTAGAAATTTAAAAAAAAATATTTTTTTTACATGCATTTTAAATGGAAAAACTTTAAATTTAAATAGTAAGTACTTAAAATTTATATTAAGAGCTCAAACTTGGTGAGCATTTTTTTTCTATATTATTAATATTGTGCTTGAGCACCGAAAAAAAAAAAAAAAAATTGCGCAAATCAATCACCCTAATATTCACACATATCATACAATATTACACTCTTAGGAAATTTTTCTGCTGTTACAAGAGTATGTATTGCACAAAAAAAAGCAATTAGACTTATCTTCGATCTGGAATCAAGACAAACATGCAGATATCATTTGGCATGTATCTGCTCTCTATGAACATATAGTCCTGAGTATGCAGGAATTTAATTATTTAATAAACTACCAGCTGATATTAAAAACATAAAATCCATTAACAGCTTTAAACAAACATTAAAAAAATTTTTAGTAACAAAATGTTTTTATAATATTAAGGATTATTACTAGGTAACATAATTAACGTATATGTGTTTGTATGTATATATATTTAAAAGTAGATTTTAAATTGTGTTTTGTCCACTACATGTATCTTGACATGTCCTACACCATTGTATACAGTGTTGCCAGAATATATTTTTATTATGTACTAGATTTGTCTGAAAAATGTACCAGATTCCATAAAACTATTGTGATTGGTTCATTGAAGAGCAAAAAAGAACCTTTTATCGAGAACTAACACAAACAAGGAAGAACCGAACAATATATTTTACCCGTCAAATGGAAACAGGCTAAAAAAAGAAAGTACTAGATTTTGCTTCGAGTGTACTAGAGTACCAGATTCTCAAATAATGTACTGGATCTAGTACAATTGTACTAGACTGACAACACTGATTGTATAGTAATCAAAAAGGACCAATAAAGTACTCCCCTCCCCTGTACTTAACTGCAAACAGGGCCGACTAGAGGGGGGGGGGGGTAGCCGGGACTAATTCCCGGGGCCCGGACTCAAAAGGGGACCGACAGCGGCATAAATGGGGCCCGACAACTGAATTTTTTTTTGTTTTGTATGAGAAATTCGACATACGATGAGAAGGGGAAGTTTTTTTTTTTTAGAAACTTCATTTGAAGTAGGGGAGGAAAAGTTTTAGTCAATTCAACTAGAAGAGGAAAAGTTTTTGTTTGAAGGGCTGTTTTTTGTCACGGGGCCCGCTCTACAGAATTGTCCTGGGGTACGGCCTGGCTCTCGGCGGCACTGGCTACAAGTAGCAAGCAAAAAAGCAGGACATGCCACTTTTTGAAGTCAGATGAGGGACTAATTCCAGAATGATCATTCATTTCGTCTGTAAAGTTCCATAGGTGTATCTTAGGGGGTTGATTATTCTATGGAATATTCTTGGTAATTAGAAAGTGTATGATACTTTTTTACCCTCCTAAAAAATTGCCATCTACTAGTTTTCAAATTTTCGTCCTTGTGTAATAAACTAGTAAGCATTACTGTGATACAAGAGATATTTGACGTTTCATTTGATGACTCAATAGCTTCAATTTTTTGTTGAGGGTAGGTAAATAGAAATAGGTTAGTGTTCTCTGTGAAAAGCTGATTCAAGTCAGGTGCATCATCATTACAGTTTGCTGGTTGCATACACTATGTAGGTGCTTACACTTTATTTTGGCAGTCTAAATATGACCTTGCAGAAAGTGAGTTGATAACCAATTAACTAAAAAAATAAATATCTACGTTTTTTTAAAGATGCTAGCAGGTTGTAATTAATTTCTAACAAGGCATTTTTGATTGCATAAAATTTAAATTCAACAATGGTTAGGCAACTACTAACAGAAATTCAGTTTTTCTTATTAATTGGCCTGGGCCTTATCCGTTCAGCCACTCCACTATAATATTGGCTTGACTATAAGACAATTAAAATGCACCATCTTTTTGTAGAGCTTTATTCACAAAATGATAAAAAGTAAATATAAATTATCTTAATATTAGAGCTGGATCTTCCCTGATTTTATTGGTAATATAATTCGATATTCATTCCATCGTGGATCTCATCTAGATTTATTATTAAGGAAAATTAAAATTATTTATGAAATTGGGTATTAAGTTAATAATGATGTAATGAGTATGAGTTCAGTACATATTTATAATAGCTAATTATGCATATTAGAAACACAGTATTCTAAATCTAAATTCATAATTGTTTCACAAAATTTAGACATAAATAGCAAAGGAACCAGTTGTAACCATTGAGGCACTCCTGAGTTTGTAAAAATTCATTTGAAATCAATTTTCTTGAAAGAGCTTCAAATCAAAGAAGTAGCTCAGTCAAGTCAACATTCCAGTTTATTTATCAAGAGCTGATGATTTATCAAGGACGTATGTAGTAATAACTACATACAAAGTATAGTCAATGGATATTTTAGGTTGAATTTAAACAAAATGGGGTCATTATCTAGTTTGACCTTTTATCGCTTATGAAAAAACTAACTGTATGTACTTGTAGGTATCATTATAATAAACAAAATCTTAGTTACTTATCTTATGAAAATTAATACACAATTTTTTTAAATAAAAATCTTTCACAAAATGTCTCAAATCAAAGGTCAGAGATGCTACTTACATCTTATATAATAAGTTATATATTCTATTATTTATTGTTAAATAGTATAGCACTTCATTTCTAATAATTTTCCGTGTCCTAACAATATTTTACACTATAACTATTGATGTTGTTTTACCTGCCCAGTACCTTGCTGTCCTATGAAAAACCCCCGTATCTCCAAAAATTGAAAAAAAAAGTATTACCGTATACATGTTTCTGGTAGTATAAACTACCATTTTACTAGAAAAAAAACATATTTGCTAATTTTTCCTAAGTTTATCATAGAAAATTATTTGCCCGTATATAGCTTTGCGCCCAAACAAAACATGTTAAACTGCGTTTTTCTAGAAATCATGTTTTCTGGAGATACAGGGGTCTTGCATAGGACGGCAGTACCAGCACCCCTACTATAAAGTGTGAATGTTGGGTTGCTCCACAGCATTTATGCCTCATAAGGCCCGTTGTGCATCCTCCAGGGCATATAGGACCTGCTCCTCAACACGTGAAAACCTACTGGTTGTCGCTGAGAGGTGGACACCTACAGAGGCTTCTACCATCCCGATGGTAAATGCCCAGGTACCGTCATTCTGTCCGCCAGCTCCACCCAGCCCTATTCACTCTCTTTCCCGTAAAATTGTTAATATTAGAAGAAAAAGGAAAAATTTTTATTTAAAAAAAAATTACTGCCTATTCATTTGCACAAGATTTTTCATAATCGAAAAGAGGTCACACTAGATATTTACCCAAAATAGAGAACAGAAAACCGGAAACTATCAATATAAAAAGGATACAATCTCCCAATTGAATGTGATCCTTAAAGGTTGTGTACCACTTCTTCAAAACTATTTTGTCCCATTTTGTACCTGTTTGTGCTGCTATAAGTTTTTTTAAATCTCCAACCGTATCATCTGGATTACATTTAACTCTAACTTTCTTTCCTAAACGATCATTACAAGTTATTTCTATCATATTTAACTTTTTCAAACGAGGTTTCTGATGATAACCCTTTTTTGTGTCGAATTTCCAGTTATTTACGATTTTTAAATGACATCTGGCATCATAATGACATACGACATGACATTGACAATTTTAATTCTTTTCTATTTCCTATACATACGGCCTCATAATAATCGTACACCATAATTTTCCAACGTGTTTTCAACGGATTGGTCAACATGGTATGTTTTACCAAACTATTATTTTTTATCATTCCTCCATAATACCAGCCCTTTTGAAAACAAACAACTTACTACTATAACATCATGACAATGCAACTACCATTCTATTTGTTCTTGTTGTCCTATTGGTCAGAGCTAATGGTTGGTCTTGTTACAATATCGACAAGGCCAGTCAAAACTAAAAATCATGACATGGAACACACGTGTTTTGACAGTTGTTCACTCTTGCTGGTTGACTGTTCTTGTGTTCTTTGCATTTTGACTTTTGTAGTTAGATGACTGCGTGGAGCTTTTTGCTCAAAAAAATAAAACAAGATGAATATTCCCGATGAATACATTTCAAATGCCGAAGATCTTGCAGACAATGTAAGTAAAAAATGTGTATTAATTAGTAAAAGATAATAGGGAGTAAAGCAAAGTTTCATTCATTTTTATAAAATGTTTTTAAATTATTTTAAAAATCAAAATGTCACGTCATCCAAGTACTGTGTAGACCTATATTTTTAAGTTTTTAAACGTTTACTGATTATTTTTATTACACTGGTTCAATACCAGTCAATAAAACTTTTAAATCAACAGTATGTTTTTAACATATAATGCTGACAATTATTTGTTCCCTTTAAGGTTATATTTTTAAAAGTTTACTCTCGAGTCCATATGGTTTAACAATATTATTTTGATTTTTATAAAACTATTTAGGTCACTTAACATCATCGTACAACAATATTTCTGTTACTTAAATAATGTCTTACTTAAATTCATTCATAAATTATAACAAAATCTTTGAACAACTATGTACATCTTGTATTTAGAATGGATTATTTAGGCCAATAGAGCCTCAGACAATTCTCAAACTTACATAAACATTTTTACTCTTTAAGAAACGAATTTATCTTTATTATTCTTATTTAAAAAAGTGAAAGTACTCAAACCCAAACTTGTTTTATTTTCAGGTCATAAGGAAATTAAAATACATACTACCAACCTTAGCCAGAGTATGTCTCATCTCCACATTCTTAGAAGATGGACTTCGAATGTGGTTCCAATGGACAGAGCAGAGAGAATACATGGACATGTCATGGGGTTGTGGCAAAATTTTGGCCACGCTCTTTGTGATTATTAATTTAATTGGCCAATTGGGAGGATGTGTTATGGTTATAATACGTTATAGAGTAAACATAGCTTGTGGAGTACTGTTTTTCATTGTGGTGTTACAGGTAATTTTTTATCCTTTTAAAATCAATCAAGTCTCATTAATACACACTGATATTAAATCAAGATAATGGCAATGATAATTTGTAATTGAAATACCTTATCAATTAAAAAAATCTTTTTTTACAGTGTTACTGTAAAAAAAATATTTTCTAGTTTTTTTTATATATATGAACTGAATTCATTATTAGAATAGACATTGAATTTTAATCATAGAATGCATAATGATTGTTCTTTTTTGAATTGCAAATACTTCAACTCTGACCACAAAAAATTATTACATTAATAAAGAGAAATTAAGAATTTCTATATTATACTGTTTTGATCTTAATATTTAACTAGATTTGAGTAATTCAGTGGCAAAGGGTTTTTTTTGTGTCATCGGCTTCAACTGCTAAGGCTATTTCGCCTCGTGTTCTGTGCAGGCTTTGTTACTGTTTCCCAGCGCCACTTTAGGAACAGCACTGTTAATTAGAACATAACAGTGACTGGTCGAGTGGGGAATCCTACCAAGGCATCAGAATTAATTTTAAATAAATAAAAAAATTCCGGCCAATGGTGGAATTCGAACCTGGGACCCTTGGATCCACAGGCAGAGACTCTACCACTGAGCCACCCACCCCCGGCAAAGGGTTTTATTAAACTTTTTGGTACTTGAAGTTTCCGCTTAAAATTTTCTTTTGGAAAAAGATAAAAAGATACCTTTTTACATTGGTTTGAAAGGTGTTTGTTATACAGCTTCATAAAAGAAAGTAGCCATTTTTTGTCTTGATAAAACTTTACTGATAATATGCCATTTGAAATGTATTCAAAATAATATATTATTGGGAGAATAGAACCTTCAAATTCTATTTTTAAAGCTTAAAGGTCAATATCTAATCTTAAAAAAATATAATATATTTTAAAAATCTAAATACTGTTCTTTCCAATAAAAGAAGCTATTTTTTTTGTAAAATTATAGAATTAAAATTTATTTATAATAATAATAATAGCAAATTTGTTTAATACATTTATTGTTTTGGATCAGAAAATAGTTTTTTCAATTACTATAAAACGTAGATAAAAGCCAAGGCATAAAAATGAAAAATATAATAAATAATGTACCTACTTAATATAATAATTTGAAATGTTACTTCCTAACTATGGTATATACCTTTTGTGATGTTATTAAGTATACTGTTTGAAAAAAGGCTTATTTAATGCTTATCATTTATGTATCCCTATTGTTTACCAGTGTTAATGTTATTCATATAATTACAAAATAATTAGTTTTAGTGGGACATAGAAATAATGTAAATAATTGTAAAAACCACATTCTAAATTTTGACATCTAATTAATAATCTAATCATTTTAAATGATTATTATTTATTTATGAAAATTCATGATAATTTAAATGTTACTTCCTAATTATGGTAAATACTTTTTTCTAATAATGAGTTATAACTACGTGAAAAAAAGATCCATTTGTTGATTATTATTTATTTAGCTGTGTTTACTAACTTTAATGATTTTATATAATTGAATCTGTCATTTGGAAAAGGGTGTATTTCCTTAACACACAATTTTACAGTAGAATAGAAAAACATGTTTAAATCAAATTCTGTGCACATAATAATTATGTACATATTTTTATATGTTCATTAGTATGTGAGGAAGATAATTACAGTTATTTTTCATGGATGTTTTAACAATCTATACCATACAAATATTTTTATTTATTTCATTTGTTCCCTTTTTCAATCTTATTCAGAATAAAACATTAAAAATAAAAATCTCTTACATTATTTATCAAATATAGTATCATATATTATTTGGTAAGTTAAGTAACTTTATAGTAGCAAAAAATTTTCATAAAAATATTAGAGACCATCTCTTCAGAGGCCATACTGTTGGCCAGTCAAATATCATCTTTGTTTTACTGGGGAATATATTGGATTAAGGATTTCAAATTATTAACTTTTTTACATTGATGGGGACTTTGGAAGACTAGGCTTTATATGCCTCTTCAGTCGGAAGATTCGCCTTGGACGGTAGGCTTTGTTAGTGATAAAGATGACTGAATAAGTCCATCTATATAATGTTTACACCACAAACCAGAACAAAAATTCACAGCTGATAGTGCTGATACAACAACAAACAAGTTCAAACTGAAATTTTAATCTTACAGCCATATGGGTGATGACATGCGAAAACATAAATTCAAAAACCTTTTTGAACCAAACGGAGTGAAACAGGTTTCTAGTTAAAGCAGTTCTAGGAGTTCTAGTTTGATATAAAAAAAATCGTATAAAACGAAAATGGTTGAAATTGTCGTTTGTGCCCTTTTCAAAATAATCGATTCAATTACAAAATAATTAGTTTTAGTGAGTAATAGAAACAATGCAAATCATTCTAAGTATATATTTGTAAAAATCACATTATTTACTTAATTCAAAATTTTGATATCTAAATAGTAATCTAATCATTTTGAATAAGTATTATTTAATTATGAAAAGTCTGGATTGTTATAATATAAAATTAAATGTGTCATTACCCATACTATATCTTGAACTGTAAAATTCATAATGGTTAAAACACATTAAAAATATGGCTTTATTATAAGGCATTAAATTAATGCATAAGTTTTATCAGAAGTGGATATTTTTTATGGTTTCATTTATTTGCCTTGTTATTTTTACTTTCCTGACTGTATAAAGAAGGCAAGTGTAGAAATCATGATTTTTTGCATTAGATTTTGGCTGGTACTTTATATGGGGGTCGTTTTTCTATTCTAAAGAAAATATCTATTATTTATGCTTGGAAAAGAAAATTTGTCAAATAAAAGTTACTACTCTATAATTTTTGTAAAATGGTCCGTATTCAAAAAAAAATTACAAAAAGTGCAAAATTTAATTTTTAAGAAAATTGTACAAATAAAAGTCATTCTCTAATTTTTGTCCTATACATGCTTTCTCTAAAATGAACCGGTTGTATTTGAAAAAATTTAAGAAAACTGCAAAATAAAAGTTGTCATCTATAATTTTTGTCATATAGATACATGATTTCTCTAAAATTAACCGTATTTGAGAAATTTGAGAAAAACTGCAAAATTCGAATTTTGAAGATAACTAAAAAACCGATAAAAGAAAACACCAAATTTAAATTTTTTTTTGCTTTAAGGCATATCTGTTATTTACAACTGGGGAAGAAAATTCTTCAAACAAAAATTGTTTGCGTTACAATCATTTTGTTCTAAAAATGATTTCTCTAAAATGGAACGTAATGGAAAAATTTGAGGAAAAGTGTAAAATTTTAATTTTTCAGTATTTTCGTAGGCAAAGAATAATATGTAAAAGAAATGTTTCGAGTAAGATGTGTGTGGAAACATGATACAATAGGTTGTACAGAATAGCCAGAAAAGCCTATAATAACTTTAGGTAAGACAGAAAAGTCATGTGTTACACACATCAGATTTTTATGGATTGTTAGTATACCAAATTTAAAAACTAGAATCCTATTCATTTTTTATAAAAAAATACATATAATAGCATAAAAATAGTTTTTACATAGGAATGTTAAATATACAAATTAAAATAAATTTTTCTGCATTTAAATATTTATTTTTATTTATTTATGTAGCACTTACAGAAAATAAATTCTAAATAGTATAAAATATTAAAAAAAGGAAAAACACTGCAACACCACGTAACGATACGAGTAAAACTTAGACCTTCAGGAGTTGCAAGTCTCTTTTTAGCGCTAAAATATTACAATAAAATATATCACAGTCAAATATGTACCATCTTGTACAAAAAATGTGTTGCTTGATACTATTATTCGAATTTCAAGTTTATATTGTATAGGGTTAGATTTTTATTCGTCATTTTTATGTATTTTAATTTATTTATAGTCTAGTAACTGAAGGGACCAACCTGTCACTAAGTCGGTCCAGATTTCCGTTGTGGCTCAACTCTTAGGTCTCGGCGGTCGCTTCCAAGGTCGAAAACTTTTACCAACTCCGCTGCGTCGGAAAGGGCCCAAAATGGACCCTAAAACTGGTTTCCCGCCAATATCTTCCACAATATGCAAATTAGAGAATTTTTGTTTAGATAAAAAAGAAAGATCTTATTATCTACAAAAATGGTCCCCATCATTTTTGTCGGGAATTCGACAGGTTTCGAGATAACCGCAATCAAAAGTCCCCTCGTTCAGCTCCTGCTTTCTCTCTATAGCAATGCTGATTAGCTTGTAAACGGGTGGACAAATTGTTTCAGAATTCGATCAAAAATTGATATTTTTCGATGATTCAAAGTTCATTACGATGGGAAAACCCATAGGTATCGATCCATGTGCCTTGAAGTCCGTTATTTCCTGTCAAGAACATTGAAAAAGAGGTCAAAGTTGCGTTTTCCCACTATTTTGGACCACTTTATAGTAATTCATTCATATTTTTTTCTTTTAATAGTTTTTTATCCCATTTTTGTTTTAAATGGGATCTTGAGATGTCTCGAATGATCTCAGATTTTTTTTCCAGTATCTTCCTGGCGTTTTAAAACAAAATTGATTTGTTTATTTGCATTTTTCATACGTTTTCGGAGTTCTAGAAATCTTTGAAACAAGCAGTAATTAAAAACTCATATTTCATTATATTGTTATTCAATGCACACCATTTTAAAGCTTAGAGTGTCTACTTTTCGAATGTATTTTTTTTTTTTTTTTTTTAATAAAGTTGCTCCATTCTAGAAATAGGGAAAATTGACCCCACCGGGGAAAACCGGACTTTTTTTTAAATACTTCTTGTTCCCCGCTGTTCATCTTTTGAACATTAATACCCAGGCTGAAGTGAAGCTGATATTCTCACCTTTCCATTTCTATCAATTGATCCCCGTATGTGAGCGTGGTTCTTAACTGTTTGTTAGAATTATCTACCCCGTTTTTACGCTCTCCGCCTGAGATCCATGATATTCCATCATAACCTAACTACGTGTACCCACGCACCACGCGCTCACCTTAATCGTCTGCTTTTGTTGGTATTCAATCTCTGTTGTTTTTGGAGTCGTTATTGTCGGTTGTTATATATTTCTTTCGTATATTTATAGAAGATTCTGGGTTCGAGTAGTACAATAATAAACAATGACTACTTTTCTTTTCTATATTTAACACAAATGAGTTAAAGTGGAATATATATCGAAGATTTGGGGTTGAGGTAAGTCTTTTGTTGCTATATCTATCATATAATTATTTCTACTAATGTTATTCTTTTTTTTTAGGTTAAAACAAACATAAAATAGAAAGCCCTTTAGATACAGAGCTTTTAGCGGCACTTCTAGAAGATTTGCTTTACAAAGTGAGTGTAAATTACCGGAAAAATTATGCCAAAGAAGGCAGCAGAGCACCTCGGGAATTTTGAGTTGAAACATATGCCACATTTTTAGGCTATTTTAAGGCTATTTTTATACCCTATTCAAAAATTTTATGCTCCTCAATTTTGCAAAAATCAAGGTGCTCTGCTAACTTCGAACGAAGTCAGCAGAGCACTTCAGTTTTTTAAAGCTTTTTCCAAAACCAGCGACACCATATTTTTAGGCTATTTTTAGGCTCTTAAAATTTTATAAAACTTTTCGAAAAATGTTATTTTTAAAAAATACAGGGTGCTTTGCTACCTTCGAACGAATCCAGCAGAGCACCTCGGTTTTTTAAAGCTTTTTACTAAAAACAACTACACCACATTTTTAGGCTATTTTAAGGCTCTTGAAATATAAAACTTTACTAAAAAAATTGCTATTTTTAAATAATAGAGGGTGCTTTGTTGGAGCAAAGTCAGCAGAGCACCTCGGTTTATTATTATTTTTTTCATAAAACTAGTTATGCTACGTTTTAAGCTATTTTTAGGCTCCTTAAATCATATATAACTTTTCAAAAAAAATGTATTTTTTAAAAAATACAGGTGCTTTGCTACCTTCGACCGAATCCAGCAGAGCACCTCGGTTTTTTAAAGCTTTTTTCTAAACAACTACACCACATTTTTAGGCTCTTGAAATATTATAAAGCTTTACTAAAAAATTGCTATTTTTAAATAATAGAGGGTGCTTTGTTGGAGCAAAGTCAGCAGAGCACCTCGGTTTATTATTATTTTTTTCAGAAAACTAGTTATGCTACGTTTTTAAGCTATTTTTAGGCTCCTAAAACCATATATAACTTTAAAAAAAAATGTATTTTTTAAAAAATACAGGGTGCTTTGCTACCTTCGAACGAATCCAATTTTGAATCAATCAATCCCAGCTAAAACAACTTATTTGTATATTGTTCAACATTGATTTCGATTATTTTTCCGCATTGACATAATTAATCGTAGAAATTAAAATGTTTGTTAATTAAGGGTTTTTTGCAATGAGCCTATCCTAATCTTAATAAGTATTTAATACAAATTTTCTTTTAATTTGACTTACAAAGTGACATTTTTGTAATCGCAGCGAGTGTCCAAATGATCTATCTACTTTGAGTTACATAAAGTTGAACATTATGTAACTGGTTATGTCATAAATATGTTCATGGTTGCGAAAAGAAAATAAATAAAAGAAACCTTTTTTTTTTTGAATAATTTATATTATTTCAATAACCTAAAAATAGCCTAAAAAAGTGGTGTAGTTGTTTTTAGAAAAAAGCTTTAAAAAACCGAGGTGCTCTGCTGGATTCGTTCGAAGCTAGCAAAGCACTCTGTATTCTTTAAAAAAATATTTTTTTTTTTTTTTTGAAAAGTTATATATTGCTTTAAGAGCCTAAAAATAGCTTAAAAACGTAGCATAACTAGTTTTCTGAAAAAAAAAAAAAAATAATAAACCGAGGTGCTCAGCTGACTTTGCTCCAACAAAGCACCCTATATTATTTAAAAATAGCAATTTTTATTAAAGTTTTTTAATATTTCAAGAGCCTAAAAATGTGGTGTAGTTGTTTTTGGAAAAAAGCTTTAAAAAACCGAGGTGCTCTGCTGGATTCGTTCGAAGGTAGCAAAGCAACCTGTATTTTTTAAAAAATACATTTTTTTTGAAAAGTTATATATGGTTTTAGGAGCCTAAAAATAGCTTAAAAACATAGCATAACTAGTTTTCTGAAAAAAAATAATAATAAACCGAGGTGCTCTGCTGACTTTGCTCCAACAAAGCACCCTCTATTATTTAAAAATAGCAATTTTTTAGTAAAGTTTTATAATATTTCAAGAGCCTCAAAATAGCCTAAAAATGTATAGTTGTTTTTAGAAAAAGCTTTAAAAACCGTGGTGCTCTGCTGGATTCGTTCGAAGCTAGCAAAGCATCCTGTATTTTTTAAAAATAACATTTTTCGAAAAGTTTTATAATATTTTAAGAGCCTAAAAATATGGTGTCGTTGGTTTTGGAAAAAAGCTTTAAAAAACTGAGGTGCTCTGTTGACTTCGTTCGAAGCTAGCAGAGCACCTTGATTTTTGCAAAAAAAACGAGGAGCATAAAATTTTTGAATAGGTTATAAAAATAGCCTTAAAATAGCCTAAAAATGTGGCATATGTTTCAACTCAAAATTCCTGAGGTGCTTTACTGCCTTCTTTGGCATGGAAAAATTAATTAAATTAAGTGTAAAAGGCAATTGATTATTTTAAATAAATTATATCTTTGAGTTTTAATTTTTCAACTTATGTCTAAGGCTTATCTGTAACTTCCAGGGATCCTCCGCATTTTCCCATTCAATGAGTACCCAATTTCCATCACCATTTGACAGTACAGAGTGGATTCAAGGATTGTTCTGCAGCTAAACATCCATAATACAGCAAGAGGCAATTTACTTAAAGTTATATCCTATGACTCTTGACATGAGTAAGGGTCGGTCTTTTCACCTTCAGATAAAGTTCCAGATAACTAACTTACGGATATATTATCTGAGAGTTACTGTCTGTCAGATAATTAATTTTCTATTTTTTCAAGTAAATAATATGTGTGGTAGGTATCCAGTAGTTTTTAACTTTATGTGGTCATGTAACTACCTGCTTATCCATCAGTGAAGTATTTTATCAGAAATTTCATAAATAAGATAATTTATCATTTAGAAGTTAAGTGTATCCAGAGGTGAAAAGATTACTTTTTAAGTTACTTGGAAGATAACAATTACCTGTCACTTTATCTGAAGGTGAAAAGATCGACCCTAAACTTACTAGGTAGCCAGAGGTAGGTATACCTTGACACGGTTATACTATACCTATTTAAATTGTAACTGAGCTAGTTAAAAAACTAACAATAAAAGGCCTAAAATAATAATTTATTTTATGTAAAATGATGTAAGAATTATTATTTTAACTAATTTTATATCCAAACTATATTTTAAACCTACCTGGGGTGGTATGAGGCCAAATGTGGCTTCCAAAGAAGCGATATAAATAAAATCGAAAAAGTTATATGGATTTTTCTATCCTCAAAAGTAGAGTCTTGTTTATATGTTTCCTAAACAAAATAATCTTCCAAATAATACTTTTTCTTTGTGAAAAATCCGCAAAAATGCGAGAGCAAGCTTTCTCTGAAAACGTGCTTTTCAAAAGAAAGCTTGAAAAAACCTGTGGTTCGTGTCTGTCTACACAGTGTTTTAATCATAACAAAAATGAAGGTATTTTCCCGGAAGAATTAGAAATGGATCGAGACCCAGAAGGGGTTGAAGGGGAGGAGGATGAAATGGCTGTCGAGACAGCAACACAGGGGTTGGAAAAACAGGGGAATGGGACGCGTGGAGGAGGGGAAGGAATAGAGCAAGACGATGAAGAGTATGATTCTGATGACATTGAATGCTTTAACGTATGATAAATTATAAGCATTGCTATGTATTTCGTATTTTCAACATGTTTTTCAAAATAAAAGAAAATTTTCAGAAACTTTCTTATTTTTCTGAAATCCTGGACCTATATTGTTCCGATAGAAGTTGGCGAAAATTTTGCAAAAGACGCAGAAAATATAAAGGGTCTTGTCGGGTCAATATTCATCACACTCTAAAACTAGTAACCCACTATTAGGCAAAGCGCCGGGATTTGAGACTGCCACATGAAAAAAAATTTTTTTTTTGCACTTTTACAACGCAAATTACACAGAACATTCGGCAATATAGATGAGATACCCCAAGCGCTACTTTACAGAAAAAATCCCGTAGAATTTCCATTCATATGCCCCATAATTTAGTGAGCAGAGGTATGCCGCTGGCGCCATCTACAATTGGTCTCCAAGTCCAAAACATGAAAATCAATGTATTCCCAACTCCCTCGAGCGGAAATTCAGTGAGAAACTAACATTTCTATTCAGTGCAAAAATTCGGGCTTTTTCAAAGGTCGTTTTTGCAAAAAATATTCGTATTGCGAAAAAAATGGTAGGGACCATTTTTGTAGATAATGATACGCTCTTCATTTTTTATCTAAAAAATTGTCTTAATTTGTATATTTTGGCAGATATTAGCGGGAAACCATTTTTTCGGACTTTAGGGGCCATTTTGAGCCCTTTCCGACCCAGCAGTGTTGGTAAAAGTTTTCGCCCTTGAAAGCAACTGTCAATACCTAAGAATTGAGCCACAAAGGAAATCTGGACCGACTTAATGACAGCTTTGCATATTTTTAGGTCTTCAGTTACTGGACTATTTTCAATTTGTAATTGTTTTTTTTTCCAATATTTCCTTTTGGAAATCACCGTAATATCTTACAATAATGGGACATGATGTAACTGAAGATGCTTTGATTCAGAATATAATGGATGATTCAAACTTGCTTGAGTAAAATTAATATTTGGGCAGTGGTGTAAAACTGAAGGGGGATAAATATGTCCCTTATTCATGTCATGCCCTACTGGCAAAAATTAATTAACTAATTTTTGTTAGATGTCTCTTAGATGAATAAAACTTAAAATTAATTACAAAAAAGTTATTTTCTTATTTCTCTATCCCGTTATTAATAACCTCATGTATATTTTTCATTCCAGACATTTGCATACAGTATTCTTTGGGATCTTCAATTCCTCTTCAGAAACTTAGCCCTCATCGGAGCCTTATTGCTCGTCTTAGCTGAAAGCAGAGGTGAAGCCAAAAGCCTTTTCGCCGGTGTACCTTCCCTTGGCGACAATAAACCAAAGAATTATTTGCAGCTAACTGGTAGAGTGCTGTTAGCATTCATGTTTATTACTCTTATCCGTTTTGAACTTAGCTTTTTACAGGTAAGAAAGAATGTTTAATTTACTATGTCTATAACTTTAGTAAGAGTTCCATCATTAGAAAGTTCTTCTTACAATTTTTATTTTGATTAAACGTATTTATAAAAGATAATGTAAAATAGAAATAGAGTAAGGTTGGTGGAAGAAAAGTTATTTATTTTTCAGATGTAAAAACCAATAAATCTTAACTATGTTGCCTATGAAAAGTTCTTGTAGCTAATTACACTCATCTCTTTTTCAAATGAATCATAGCTTAAAGATAATTTTATTCGCTACGTGATGTTATACGGTTGCCTAAGAAAAACTTGAAGCACTACTCCATATGATAGACAAGGATGTCCAGTAGCAGATGTATGCCGACAAGGACGCTTGTGGGCGAGAGAAAGGACACGAATACAAAGTTTTCGGAGCAAATGAAATGAATATAAAATATTTATTCTTTTATACATTTTATTTTTTTTTTTTCAACATCTAGTAAAGGAAATACAAGAAAGGAATAAAGGAAGGAGCATTTAATCCACAGTACATTGACATTTGGATTTTGTAACTACAATACACGCCATACTTCCTGAGGGGCTTCATTCTGGCGTCCCTAAGGAAGTTCGTACATGTACCTATAATTTTAATGTGAATCGACAGTTTTTTATATTACATTAATGATTTCACATTTGTCGGACAAAAATCACGTAACTTTGGGGGTGTCCGACGCCCCTAACATGTCGCTGTGGCGTCCCTAAGGAAGTTGATACATGTATGCGTAGTTTTAATGTTATTTGACAGTTTTTTATATAACATTAATGAAATCACATTTGTTGGACAAAAATTACTTGGCTTTGGGGGAGTTCGACACCCCCAACACATTGAGACGTCCCTAAAAAAGTTGATACATGTACTTGTATTTTTAATGCAAATGGACGGTTTTTTATTACATTAATGAAATCACATTTGTCGGACAAAAATCACATGGCTTTGGGGGTGGTAGGTGGTCCTAGGCCCCCCAACATGTTACTGTGGCGTCCCTAAGGAAGTTGATACATTTATGTCCGACAAAAATAATTATGAATAACAATGGAATTTTTATGTAATAAATGCCTGACAACAAAAAATTGAGTATTAAGGTCAGTTGGACAACAAAAGTCCAACAAATAGTCTAACCACATAACATACTCCATATATAATAATGTAACTCATGCTTTGATTGTTATTATTACAATGTCTATTATTATTGTTATTATTATTTGGGTTATCGGTTTTTTGTATTATATAATATTTTTAAAAAAACATAATTAAATCGATAGGCTTACACTTCCCATAAACATTTTTTGTCCAAGACTGGAATTGTTTATAATATGTTTTTTCATGTGCTGATCATCAATATCAACATAACAAAGCTAAATGTTGCGGCATTTAAAAGTTATAAGCAATTTAATTTGTGACAATTTAATTTAATATGCGATTTGCAGCTAAAATATTGATTTTTCGGAAAAACCACAAGAGTAATTTTTTGTACATCTTTTTAAACCCTGCAGCTTTTTTCATAAATTAACAAAACAGTTTACAGCTGTTTAAACAATTAAATTGTTTATAACTTTTAAATGCCGGAACATTGAGCTTTTTCATGTTGATATACGTGATCAGCCCATAAAAAAACATCATTTACACATAATTCCAGCCTTGGACAAAATTGTTCATGGGAAGAGTGTAAGCCTATCGACTAATAATTATAATAATAGAACTTATAACAACAATCAAAGTATGGATTACATTATTATAATATGAAGTATGCTACGTGGTTGCACTATTTTTTAGACTTTTGGACAATTTTTTTGTCCGACATTTACTACATGTTTTAAAATTATATTGTTATTCATAATTATTTTTGTCGAACTTACATGTATCAACTTCCTTAGGGTCGTTACAGTGACATGTTGGGGGTGTCGGACTCCCCCAAAACCACATCATTTTTGTCCGACAAATGTGATTTCGTTAATGTTATATAAAAAACCGTCGATTCACATTAAAACTACAGGTTATATCAACTTCCTTAGGGACGTCATAACGACAATTTCACGAAGAGCTAGCGCGAAAATGTCCCATCGCCCAGGGTGAAGTATATGAAAAAATTTGTCTGACTTGGTGCTATAAAGCCGCTCAGGAAGTTTGGCGCATACAGGAGTTACAAAATACAACGGTCAATGTACTGGGGACTAATTGTGATGAGAAAAAATATTGTTCTTTATTCAGTATCTGATTCGTTGGAGCTTCCCTTATAATAGTTGAAGTCATTTGTGTCTTTGGTATTGTAATTTAAAACATTTAAACCACACAAAAAACATCTCTTATTTTTTATAGAACACTTTTAATAGACCATTTGTACTGGAAACACAGTTCTTGAGAACAGAGCACATGTTGGAATAATGTAGTTTTGTTGCAACCATAATTGGGGTCAAGTTTTTTTTAGGCAACCTAATACCATCATGCAGATAATAACATTACCTTTAATTTAAGCTATAATTTATTTAAATATCGGATGGGGTTAATTATCTACATGAACTCCTCTGTTTAAAACTGGCAACTTGGTAGTAAGGCCAAGCAAAAAATTGGCAACTTTTGTTTTTTTAGCTCATATTATGATATACTTGCATTTATTTAAATAACAAATATGATGGCACTAAGTAAAACAAATAAATAAACTTTTTCTAATGTAGAGGTTTAGGAACAGGATATGCAACCCGGTTACGATTTATTGCTTTTTATGTTAACTATATTTAAAAAAAGAAACAGATGTTTGTAGAACTTTATAATCTCAAATTTTACACTACTTATTTTAAAAATTGTAGAGGTTATTCAACTGCTCGAAGGTGGCCATTTTTATAAACAAAAATAAAATTGATTTTGAGAGTTTTTTTTTTTTCGTTTACTACTTATTTTTTTTTTAGGTTACATTAGACCTTCTCGGTTCTCTACTAATGGTTCTAGTGACAATTGGCTACAAAACGAAATTGTCAGCCTTAATATTAGTGTTACTTCTGACAACATTGAACTTCTACCATAATGCATGGTGGAATATTCCAGATTACAAGCCACTTAGGGATTTCCTGAAATACGATTTCTTCCAGGTAAATAAACGGTTGAAATTTGAAATATTTTGAAGGAAATTGATTTGATTTTTTTTTAATTTGTAGACATTATCCGTAATTGGAGGACTCTTAATGATAGTGTACTTGGGCCCTGGAGGGGTTTCTATGGACGAGCACAAAAAGAAGTGGTAGAAAACAATGTGATTCCTGATCATAAACAATTTGTGAAAACAGAATTATTTAAAGAAAAACTCATTTTTATATATATGTACATGTTCCTTGTTTTCTGTTTTGTGACACACACCCCAAAGTAAGTGGTAAAATTGATTTACACAAAAACAATTTTGCGCATTTAACTTTAATCTAAACTTTATAAAAAACAAATTATGTTGAAAGAGATGTATATATATTTTATTTTTGGATTTCTGCAAAATATTTTTCGACTTAAAATTGACAGAAATCCTTATATTAAGAAAATATGTTATTTTGCATGTGTAAAGGAGACAATTTTTTATAGTATAGTATAATAAAAATAGAAAAATATAATAAAATAAATATCAACTACACCAATAATATTTCTAGTCATATATCTGTTCCAATATTACTTGAATTCCTGGTATCGAAAAGGAATTCATATAAAATTTAATAAAATTGACAAATTTGTATTGCATCCATCTCGATTATTTAATAAAACTGATCTTATAAAGGCTGTCATTTTATGTTTAACAAGACAAAGACACTGACGTATTTAATGGATTGTTTTAAATCCTTTTTGCTTTATATATGGGCCTGATTAATATTAAAAGTTATGTTCAGTGATTAAGTTCAAAGCAAATTGTTTAAACTGAAACAATTTTATCATGTTCTTAACTCAGATCTAAAAAAACAAAAATTTTAATAGTGCGTAAAACACTTTATAATGCAGATTATCCAAACGAAAGCATGCTTTGTCATAATTCTGTCATTATTTTACATTTAGTTGATGAAATAACTGAAAATAATAAGAATACAGACTGTTAAGTAGTTCAAACATACCTTATTCTTATTATATATATTTGTTTACTTTGTTAAGATTTTTTCCTTTTTTTTGTTGGAATGGTAGGTAAGTTTAATTATTTGTTGAATAAATTAGAACGTTTATAGAAACTTTTGTTACTATACATATGCAAAATAATCCTTTTTTACATGAAACAATCCTAGACTGTGCAATTGTGGTTAAAAAAATATTAAGAATTTATTCATTTAGGTTTATCTCGTCCGAATTTAACCAACTTTTAGACACGTACTTCTTATTTGTGAGTATTTCCTATTTGGAAAATTCTTTAATATTTGGGTTAATTAATTATGATGTACTTCAAGATGTAATTTTTAAATATTTTTTCGTTTTATATAGGTATTTATGCTCAAAACTTTTAAGATTTCTTCCATGTATTTTTCGTTGTAATTTAGATCTTTTATGTTATAAAGAGTGGGTTGTTATTAGGACTTGTAATAAATTACATATTTTTACAAATGTGGTGTATTATTTCTGGACTCAACATAAATTTGGTGACTTACCAATTACACAACTAATTGATGAAAAATTTAAAATTGATATTGATAGCAATTCGTCTCACAACTCTTACGCAAAATACTAAAAGATGGTCAATATTTTATTGAGTAATTTTGTGAAAATTCAAAAAATAATTTAAATTCAAGTAGATTTAAATTTAAATAGAATAAGCGGATTTAGAGGACTATCTGTGGAAAATAGTTTATTCAGTGCCATCTAATCTCACCCTATATTTTTAGGAATCGGTCATATTTATTTTGTTCCCTGGAATGACTGGGAATAGAAAGTAAAACACGCTGGTTTAAAAAACAACTTTTATTCACTGACTTGGAACATTGGATTTGCAACTTTACTTTCCATTTAATGTGAGAAGAATGGTGATAAATGTAGCTGCTTACAAACAAATAAAAAGCTGAATCCAAGCTCTTACAAAATTGTTCTTGAATGATTTGTAATGCTCTCGTTTCAAGTCTATTTATAAACTTCACTATAATAGCTATACTCACGCTCTCATTTTAAACCTGACTGGCTAGATCATTTCAGAGAGACATTGCTTCAATAAAGAGACAAAAGACAGTACTATTATTTTTCATGTCTTATGTGAATCGTAACACATTCGACTGTGTAGTTAGATGTTGTACATTGATTTAAAATTTGCTATAACATTCGTTGCATTTTAAAAGGTCGATATAATTGACAAAGTTAAAATTATTGGCATGCAACAGAACCGGCTTCTGTTAAGTGTTTAAATGCAGATAAGTATACCATCTTTTTTCACGCACACAAGAGGATTTAGAGGGTATTTAATGTAGTTCACTTTTGTATTTTTTATAACATTTTTTTGAAATCAAATCTAATATTGAATGCACAAATGATTTTCATGGTCTAATATACTATATTTTTTGTTTGTGATAGTTTTGATTTACAATTTTGATAAATACTGGCTATTCATCAGATAGGAAGATATCATGAGCCATAAATCATAATGAAATTGTAAAACTTTAAACTTGTTTTTCTCGAAATAATATTTTTGTGACACTCGTGTCTTCATTTGAATCGACATCTTTCAATGAATGGTTGTAACGTTTTTATCTACCCATAATTTTGATAATGCAGTTCACGTTTTGTATTTTTTTTTAGAATTTTTTTGAAATCAAATCTAATATTTGAAACGTTCAATTCCTATTTTCCAATATAATTGATAATAGTTAACTATCTTTTCCAGTAGAAAAATTATTTAAACCATCAGCAGACATCTTTTATGTGGTTGTAACGTTTTTGTCTTGATTTAGTCATGTCTCATTCAAATAAAAGAAGAAAAAGTCTTTATTGGGGGTAATCCCAAAGGCTGGCGACTTTTAGCCTAAATAATAGTTAAATAATCTTTTAGGTTTAAATAACAATACATTTTATGTAAAAAAAAAAAAACTAGAATGAAGATATATAAAGCCTCTTCACAGTTTAACAGACCCCATTTTCAATCAGATTTTTTTTCAGAATCAATAGGCTTTATTCCATTATAGAGCTTGATTTTTTACTAAAAATTTCATCTTGATATCGCTTTTGGTGTTTGATTTCTATTTTTTTTTTATTTCAACCCCCATTTTGTTAACAATTTTTTTAAATCAATAGGCTTTGGTCCCTTATGTAGCTTGATTTTTGCTAAAAATTCAAGTTAATATCTTTTTCGATTTTGAGTTGATTTTTTTAAATATTTCTACCCCCGTCAACCCCTCATTTTAATTCAGATTTTTTCAGAATCAATAGGCTTCATCTTCTTATAGAGCTTGATTTTTATTAAAAATTTCATGTTGATATTGCTTTTCATTTTTGATTTAAGATTCTTTTTAATTTCTTCCTCTCTTAACCCCCCCATCTTTAATCAGATTTTTTCAAAATAAATATGCTTTGTCCCCTTATAGAACTTGATTTTTTCTTTTTCTTATTTTTCGTTTTTGAGTTAGGATTTTTTAATATTTCTTTATCCTTTCATCCTGTGAGGAGTAATTTTAATTGTTTCAATAGTAACTGATTGGATGGGTTATGCAGTAGATTGTTATCGATTATACACATTACCTTTCCACGACTTTCATATGGAGAACTGCTCTGGAGCTTGTTTAAAGTGGAATGTGGCTATATTCGATGAGGGGTCTACATATCATTTTTTGATATATATTTTTTGCTACTTGGTTGTTGATTTCCTCATTTTTGCAAGTTGAAGTGCCGGAGTTTGTGATCTAGTTCTATTCCTAAATATTTGTAATGTTGAGTAGGTTTTAGTGTATTTAGGATAGTTGATGACACAAGTGGATGAAGGGCCTACATGTAACATTTTTTAAAATGGTGTTTTTTCTGTGAATGTACCTAAAATTCGTTTAAAATGTCTTCCGTGACAAATACATCATCAAATATAGAAGTTGCCAGTGGATAAAGGACCCATGTACTAGGGAATAACTGCCAAACAATAAACTTTAACACCAAATATCATAGGCCCTTCGTCCACTTGTGTCTTATGATTGGAAAATTATCAGCTAGGGTGTGGATAAATATGATGAATTTGGTTTGGAAGGATTTGGCTAGATTCTTCATTTATGGAAAAAGGAAATTGTGTTATACATAAACTTGGAAAGTTCATTAATGTTATTGTTTAGAGATTTATCGTGAGCTATAAGAGCAGTGCCATCAGCAAACTGAAGGGTGTATTCAGACTGAATTTGGTTTTAATTGGGAAGATTGTGAGAATATCATGGTAGATAAAGTTGTATGAAATGGAACTCCCTGATCCATTGAGAAATATTTTGAGATATGTTAAGAATTGTTGATTAGGTAAAGGGATTCTATTTCTTAACATACAGAACTAAAACTTTCAGGAGATTCATCAAGATGAGTTGAGTATTTAGATTACATTTAATTTTTCAAGGTTATCATTATCTGCTTGTTAATTATATCTCAACAAGTTTATTTATTTATATAATTAACATACAATCAGTTAATATATTCTAAAATATGATATACATATATTTAATTGTATATAAACAATAAAAACTGGATTTAAGTAAATATTATCAGAGATAAGATTTTAGATTATGTTAAAAATGTTGTTATTACGTGAACACGCTATATTAGTGTTACGCAATTTGTGTTCCACTGACAGTTAAATTTATGTCTTTAATTTTCTTTTTAATAATGTTTATGGGCCGTAAAAAAGAAGTTTAAAGGTACCTATGTTAATAAGTACGTTTAGTTGAATACAATCTTGAAAATAATAGAAATTAAGTATTATAACCTTTATTTTGTTTATTGTCAGTAGAATACAAATTACGTCATCACTAATATAGACATGCTCATTATCTGGAAGAGAATATGAATGTAAATTTAGGAATATTTAGAATCATCTGCATAGACCAGGTATAATGAGTTGAGTAGATCATCCATATTTTCTCGATAGGTATATTGAAATTGACAAAAGGAAGTGATATAATAATAATAATCTTAAAATATTGCAGTGATGCCGACCCGGAGAAAAAATAATTTTGTTGAGGAATATATACAAAAGTCTTTTTTCTCTAATCTAAGGCCTTTTTCTCTGATCTAAGACCTTTTTCTCTGATCTTAGACCTTTTTCTCTGATCTTAGACCTTTTTCTCTGATCTTAGACCTTTTTCACATTTCAAATCATCAATCGAATGGCCTAGTGTTACACGTAGCCGCATTTATTCAGTTTCGCGGCGCCTCCCATAAATTTTTTTATCCGGAGCTCGGAGAATGATCGCCAAACCCGGAGATTCCGGGTCAAAATGACATTGTTGGCAACCCTTTTGGTCTACTATTTGTTGATAGCTCTGAAATGGATATACTCATTATACAGAATGTCTCAATAATTGGGAAATAATACTGGAGCATACAATAAAGCTAAAATAAATGCATTTTTGGGTTAATAAAAACCATGTCCTAAAATTTGTGCATATTACAAAAAAATAATACTTGCAAGTCAAAAAAATTTTTTTCGAGTCATTGTATTTGCGTACATTTTCATAAAAATATGTTAAGTTGTTTTAGAGTAACACCACAAAATCGATTCTAAAATTTTTACTTTTAACACCCTGTAACTTTTTACTATCCATTTTTTATATAAGCAAGTTAGCTTAAATGGACTTATTTTCGACCCCAAAAACTGTGTTAAATTTTTTGTTCATCTTTTTGTTACACCCTAAATATGCATTATACAGGGTGGTCCAATTAAAACAGTCCACCTGAAATATTTTCCTAGGAGAAATTTTCTGAGAAATCACCGGGACCGGTCGATTTTGATTTCAAGTGGGACTTCTTTTGATCTTTAATTCATGGATGTAGGTTCATCCCCCTGAAAGGGGTGGCATCCTGGTAAGAACCTCAGCCATCTCTACGTAGTAAATTTAATAACTAAATTTATGGAGACCGGATCAGTTGCTAACAACAAACATGAAAGGCAACACAATGTTACTAACGAGGCTGCACAGGTTGCAATTTTGGGTCATGTTGAATTGGATCCTATTTCAAGCACCAGAAAAGTAGCAGCAACTTTAGGAATTCCACGTAGTAGTCTTTAGAGTTTTAAAAAAGCATCGACTCCGTCCCTAGAAGATTCTCGTGCACAAACCCAATGAAGATGATCCAGATTGCCGTATACAATTTTGTGAGATGGGTGAAAGAATTTTAAACAATCCTACTTTTTTATATCCTACATGCTTTTCTGACGAATGCACATTCTTTCTTAAAGGTAACGTCAATAGATATAATTGCAGATATTGGAGTGATTCGAATCCACGAATTATTAGAGAACAGCATTCACAATATCTAGAAAAGTTGAATGTATGGGCTGGGATTTTGGGCAATAATATTATTGTTGGTCCCTTTTTCTACCTGATAACTTGACAGGCGAGTCTTACTTCAATTTGCTTGAAGACTTCATCTACCCTCACATTGTGGAGATTCTCGAAAACGACGATCAGATCCCAGAAAATAATGTAATTTCTCAACAGGATGGGGCCCCGCCACACTATTCAGCTCCTGTACGCGACTTTTTAAATCAACATTTTACGCAACACTGTATTGGTAGAAGGGGTTTCATTGAATGGCCCCCAAGATCGCCAGATCTATCACCATTGGACTTTTTTGTGGGATTATTTAAAAAATGTCGTTTATAAGACGAAACCTATATTTTTAGAAGATCTTTGCCACCCAATAGTGGAAGCACGTGGCGGCTTGTGATAAATTTTTTTGGGTGTTCTGCAATTTTTGCAAAAAAAGCTTACCTTTCAGGGGGTTGTCTTCTTAGTCAAAGTCCCATCGATTTTATCGTGCTTGCTGAATGATGGATTGCTGGAACGATTGCCACACAAAAAAAAAGAAACACCAAGCACTATTTTACTGTACTCTATTTTCTTCAAGAAAAATACAAAATGTTTAAGAAAATGACGTGAACAATTTAAACAGATTTAGTGTTGAGAAACATCTTTAGCCTCTGATGTTGTCATGTTACCACAATTTCTAATAATTTTCTAGTCTCCTTTAACGTATCTCCTAGATTGTTTGATATTAAAAATTTTTAGTAGAGATAGTGCGCCATTCAAGGTCCTACATCATTTCTTGAATAAATAACAGACAGTTCAGTTCGCAATCGTTCTTTGTCAAGTGTGGTATAAAAAGAGCATGCGGAAGTGAGTTTATCCTCGGGAAATTTACCACAATATTCTGCAAAGCATTCCGAAAAAAGTGAGGCAACTACTAGATGCTCTTAAAATCAAATCGATCTTTTGCACAATTTAGGATAACGTCACACACCTCTAAAGCAGAAATCTGATGATCAAATCTGCTGTTACTTGGGCGCTTGCGTTTATTTTCTGGTGGCTGGTCGCTTATTAAATCTAATGCTTCAGTAATGATGCTATCAATATTATTTAAAACTTGAGTGATATTGCGTTCAAAATTATCGATAGCGTCTTTTACTAAAGTGGGTTCAATTTATCTTTGCTGTAGTTACTTGGGCGCTTGCGTTTATTTTCTGGTGGCTGGTCGCTTATTATATCTAATGCTTCAGTAATGATGCTATCAATATTATTTAAAACTTGAGTGATACTGCGTTCAAAATTATCGATAGCGTCTTTTACTAAAGTGGGTTCAATTTATCTTTGCTGTAGTTGATTGAATAGGATGTCTACGTGAGGCATCACATGATGAAAAAAAGTCAGCCAAAAATTGAAGATCGGATCATTTAATGTACGGCGAATAGAGGCGGCTGCACTACAGACTGTGTTGTTGGCAAATTGTTCTTCTATTTCATGCATACACTCAATGAGAGACGCTCTATTTTCGTATACAACATTAATGGTCCTTATATTAAAATTCCAACGGGTTGTAGCGCTGAGGGGGATCCTTTTCTTCACAATATTGTTTAAGACTTCTACTCGCTGGGGTGAATTATTAAAAAAGCCAGGAATGTCTTGTAAATTTCCAAAAAATACACGCACATGCGAATTTGCAGAAGCAGCATTAGACATAATTAAATTTAACTGATGGGCATAGCAATGTACATAGTGAGCAAAAGGATACTTTTTTTAATTAGTGCTTGAACTCCTGCGTGTTGGCCGCTCATCACCGCGGCTCCATCATAACTTTGTGCAATCAGTTTGTTCAGTGAATTTTGAATTAAAGGATCTGTAACAGTTAAAATTGTTGTGTTTCTGCATCACGTTTTTCAGAAATTAAGTAGTTTCAAAAACGTTCAATTGGCTCACCATTGCGAACATATCTAAATATAACTACCAGTTGAGTTTTTGCAGCAACATCCGTTGTTTCGTCCGCCATGATCGCAAAAAATGGAGAATTATTAATTTCCTCAATTATTTGTTCATGACAGACATCGGGCATATACTGTAACAGATCATTCTGTACTTCTTTATAGGTGCCTTTAAATACCGAAGAATTTTTTAGGTGTTCACTTAGATTTGCATCTAATTCAGCCGAGAAATTTATAAGTCCACGAAATATCCCCGGATTATCGGAAGAATCGCTCATCATGTCCCCGAAGAGCCAGTTAAAAAGCGCCACAAAACTAAACCAATTAATAATTTTGGATAAAATATACCTATTCTTTGACACATTTTCATTATGTCTCTGTATATTTAACCAATAAGCAGAATCTAATTGAGCTATATTAGTTGTCCCCAGCAACGCAAATTCCATGCAATGGGGCATGTTCAAAAATTTTGAAATTTTTTTTATGAATAATAGAGTTGAAAATAAAATTATATTTTTTTTATTTTTTTTTTTATCTATTCATTTGCCGGAGTTATGAATTTTTTTAAAATTTATGACGTCACCGGGAATAGACCAATAGGAGCTAGCGCACAACGTTGCCGGCTAGAAGGTTTACGAGAAGTGATGTACGTTCGTTTGTGTACTCCTTCTTACTTTTAGACTTCTAAAACATCGTTAAACAAATATCTTTTAAATATATAATATCAAATGTTTTTTTAAAGTATTATTTCTGTTTAAACTTTTACCATATTTAAAGTTTCATTGTTTTAAAAGTCACTTAATAATTCAGAAAATGGCAGCACTGTGTATGGCATCTGTCATCATTAAAGACCGGACAATTTAATTTATTCTTATCAGCGAAGTAACGGTAAGAGCGGACCTTCGATTTGAATAATACATTCTGAATAAAACAAGTTATTTACTGAACTGGTCGACACAGTAGATAAGATATTGGATTTTTATCGCCCGGGCGTAACATTTGGGGCGGGCTTATTATTACATTTACATTGCAATAATTATTTTATTAAATTTTAGTTCAAATTTGGTTGGATATTATTATATAATTACAAATGATATTATTATTTATTTTTTTATTGTGTTGTGGGATAATGTTGTTGGCTTTTTCTGTTAATATATTATTGACTAATAAATATATCAACGAGGATACACCATCATTAGTTTTATGTTTAGAGTGTTCCAATATACACTCTTTATCCTAAAGTAGCAAATATACAATTATATACAATATATACAATACAAATTAATATCAATCTTCTTCATTTGAAAAATATGTTTGTATGACTGCATATTTTTCTAAATTGTCTTCAGTGAAATTACTTCTTTTAGAAGTCAATAAATCTTTAAACCTAGAAAACGATCGTTCTACGTCACAACTCGTTACAGGAGCAAATGAAAAATGTGGAACAAAATCACAATATTTTAAAGCAGTTTCATAATCGTTAAAATTGTTCAGGGAGATTTGTTTCAGAGTCTGTAAATTTGGATTTCTTTTAATAACACAATCTATTTTATGGTTAAATTTATCTTGTAAGGGCCACTTTACGTTTTTTAAGTGTAACAATGTCGATTCAAATTTTTCCATAGCAACCGATAATTGTAAGTTACGGGTTTCAAGGAATTTTATAGTTTCTGGGAGACACGAAAAATAAGTCGCAAGAAAATTTAACTCCGACTGCAAAGTTGTTTTTGTTATTAAACCTTTACACTGAGTGATAGAGAGAGCGTCCTCTGATAAGTTGGAAATAAATACTTTTAGTCTGTCGAAATGCTCCGAAAAAAAGAACACAGCCTGTAACCAAGTTCCCCATCGTGTAATAACTGGTTGTGGAGGTAGGGGGATATTCGGACATATTTCTTTATATAAAGAAACTCGGGACGGTGCTTTTAACAAAATTTTTTTAAAACAGCTAATCAACGAATTAATGTCTGGAAAGCTGTCACGGATAAACTCACAAACTCGGTGTAACGCGTGAGCAAGGCAAGTTACATGCAGCATGTTTGGAAAATGTTCTTGTAATAGTTTCCCTGTTTTCAACATTACACTTGCCGCGTCTGAAATAAACAATAAAACTTTTGAAACGTCATTATCAATTACATTGTTCAATCCACGTTTCACTATTTCATAAATCATTTCAGCGTTCACAGTTTCACGAAACACACTAGAAACTAAATACTGTTGTGAAGTATTTTCAGCACTTAATAATCCTACAACAACATTAACAACACATCTACCCTTTATGTCAGTCGTTTCATCTGCACTAACCCAAATATATTTGCTGGAAATTTTCGTTTTTATTGCCGTCATTGCTTTATCGTACTGATTTTGAATATAATGTTTTCTAATTGTGGATTCATCCGGTATTTTACGTTTAGTATATTTACAAAGAAAATTTTTGAAAATTGTATTATTTAATTTTGTTAATGGAATATTTGCAGAAACAAATGCGTTGCATAAATCTTCATAAAAGATTTTGTCTGGACATCCCTCTAAAGATTGCATGTGTTTTTGTGTTTTCACATGTTGTGTCATACTTGACTTTCCATTAAAAACTAACACCTGATCACAATTGCGGCAGTATAATTTGTTGTCATTAAAACGACGAAAACAATCAAAGTCCGATAATAAATTTTCCATATTTACGTTTCCAGTTTCTATCACTTTTCCCTTTGAACTAAACAAATATACTCATTGGAAAAATCTAGTGATATTTTTACAAGACACTTTCTTCTCAAATCTCCTGTTTATCGACTCTTTGTTATCTTTTTACATTTTTTCAACCAACAGATATAGAGTGAGCAATTGAATTAATACATACATTACAGAAATTTAACAGACATTTATTTTATTGTCTCATCGTGTATAAGTACCATAATATCCACAGGAAATAAAAACATAAATGTTTTGTTACAAAAAATCGGTATGTACGGTATCGATAAAAGCCAAAATATTCATAAATATAATATAAGGATTGACTTTATTTGAATAAAAATATCACCGGCAACTAACCGACAATGGATCGAGAAAGTATAAGACAACATATGATGGGCCTATTTGACATTCATTTTAGGCCCTCTCTACAGCGTCTTAGTCCAAACGCTCGTAGAGTCCTAATATTTGGCCCCGATGCAATTTCTCCAACAATGAATCGGGACCAGCTAAGGCTAGAAATTTCCAATTTTCTGGAGGAAATAACAAATTCGGGGGAGGCAGCTGGGGTCCTCGATCCTCATTTTAGGCAGGAGAGTAGTGTACCACGCCAAAATATTGAGGAATAGATATTTTGTAATTATATAAGAGATAATAATAAAAAAAATATCATACAGAATATCGTTTACATTACTACACCTTAAACTCGCTTATGAAAAGTTTAACATCTTCATCAAAAAAGTTATTTTTTTTTTAAGGAAAATTTCTCAGGCCACAAATTAAAGGATCTGAGGTTACTAAAAACTTTTGTAAAATATCCTACATATCCTCGGCGTTGGTGAGAAGAAAACATTAAATTTGTTTAATGAAAATGATTCAAAAGACAAAGAATATAGGTACACGATAAAAAAAAATCTCACTTTTTTGTATTAGTTTTAATGTCTATGTATATATCAGTACACTTTTTTTATCTTGTTTTAATAAAAAAAAGAGGTTTGTCCTGATAGTATTAGAATCTGCCGCACTGTCTGCCGTCTTAAATAGCGAACCCAGAATGAGACGCCTATGTGATTAAAACCAATTATTTGAACGCGATTAAAATGTCCGGTCTTTAGTCATCATAGTGTCTCCATCAAGAATTTATTTGGAATTTGATTGTTTAATTTTGTACTTTTTATAAATATTATGACTACGAAAAAGTGTTTTGTTCCAGAATGTGATAATGATTCACATTCATCTTCAAAAATATTTATTAGTGTTCCTAGAAATTTGGAAAGAAGAAAATCAACCTTCTACTAGCGATGTTTCTCGTGAACTTTTTAATAAAAATACACCGGATTATCAAGATGTAGCAGCAATTTCTGCTAATTGTCCCCTTCAGGAAATTGAAAATAAGGCTACTATAAATTCTTAGGTGTATAACCTAAAAACCCTTCTGGAAGAAAATGCAGAATCTCCTGAAAGTTTTGAAGATACCGAATTTATTCATCATTTTGTGGAAGAACTAGTGATAAAGAAATAATGGAAAAATGTGGGTATTTAAACAAACTGGTTCCTGGATCCCATATAATGGCAGATAGGGGTTTCAGAATAATCAGCTACTTGAAAACATGGGATACACTTTAGTAAAGCCACACCTAGTGTATCACAGAATGAAAAAACTTCTCCAGAAGATGTACAATTAAGTAAAAGAATAGCATCTCTAAGAATACATGTGGAAAGAGTTATAAGAAGGGTTAGTTAATTTAACATGTTAAAACCACATTCATGTGTGAATTTTAAGCAAGTACATTTACTTAGTAATATCTGCATAATTGCTTGTTAACTTACAAGAACCTATTTTGTAAGAGTAAATATTAATTTAATAAACTTTTTTGTTTGTTTTTTAATTTAATTTACCTAATTATCACATTTCAGGGATTATAATGAGTTTTTAAACAGCCAATGTAATTTTTGATAAAAATTTAACTTTTCGAGCAAATCGAAGAGGAATGAGTACCTGTATGTGCATAGATTTTTTTGGGACTAAAACTACCAAAACAAAGGCACCTATTTACAGCAGTTTAAAATGAA